TCCCCAACATTCTGTGATTCTGTGATCTGTACATTGGCAGCTACTTAACAGTCACCTAAGTGCTTCTTGAAAATACATTAAGAAATGCCGCTAGGTGTGTATGTTGTAGAAGGTACAGACAGCAGGATATATGTACAGTTGAAAAAGTAGCTTTTGGGACATTCATTATTTCAGGACTCTGATGTTAACAACAACGCAAGTAATTCTACCACCTTCTTAGCAACCAAAACTCTTTCTAAAGAAGACAACTTATCTACAACTATTCCGGATATACAAATTAAGAGAAATGGCATTGTCACATTGGAAGAGAGTCGCACTCAAGGCTTGACAGTCTCTGACTTGCTGGTTAACAAAACAGGTTCCTTTAACACCCAGAACCCACAGGATCAGTGCTGGGAGACATATGTTGGTCAAGTAAGTAATTGTTTTATTATGTCATCAACTTACTCCTAATCCACATTTGACAAAAAATTAAAATCATGTTGTGCTGTGTTCAATTTTAGAGATTTTCTTTGTATAAATTCCAGAATTTAGTGAAGGATTTTGTAGGAAGACTAAAGACTATGCAAAGGGATTTGACCACGGAGACAAACTTTGTTGTTTTTTTTTTTCCAGTATCTACAGTGTGTTTAGTGTTGTACAAATGTTCCTTTACCAGGCTCTCTCATACAGAGAAATATGACTATAAGAATGTACAGACAGTAACGTGCACCCTGTGCAGATTCAGACTGCTGCCTGGATAGACGGGGATGCAGACCCAAGCCAAGCATCGTGTGCTTGGTCATTTGTACAGTATCTCTGAATTCTCTATTCTTTCTGCCTTGGTAAATCACTAAAGAATCAAGTGTTCTTCACTACTTCAGAGAGAAAGCGGGCAACAATAAAAGGTTTCAAAACACTGTCAGTTCTTAAGAATGGAGACAGTTGGGTGACAGCACCACGTATGCGTGTTCCCACAGTTAGTTTGCAGAAGATCTGCAGACTTAACATGACACTTTCTGTTTACAACACTGTCGGTTTTGTACTTATGTCTAGGCCAATAGATGAAGAATGATGTTAGCGTGCTTCTGATGTGCTGAGCTCCTCGTCTCACTAAGCAATATTAAAGGCCTTGTTTGAGCAAAAGTCCCTTCCTAGATTTGACGGGCTGATTTCTTTTCTTGTATGTTCCTCTCCCTATCGCACAGGCACCGGGAAATTTTCAGAATTGGCATTCATGGGATTTTTTTGATTATTTGTTCCCCAGAATGGGCTAGAGATGTTTGGAACTGAATATTTTCTATTTAGTTGTATGTTTTTAAAGCTCAGTTAAATATAGGATAACCCCATTCATTTTTAAGCACTACACAGCTCTCTTATGGCTTGATGATCCTACTGCCATTGGTTTTGGTTTTGCATGAATAATAAGCATTTCTTATTGTGAAGCACTTAGCAAGTCAGTATAATAAAGGATTGGGCACAATAGAAAAGAACCAACCCATTTCAGTTTATCTAGATAAACTTTGAGAAAAGTCATTAAAAAGAAAGCTTGAAGCTATCATGACCAGAGTTTTATTGCTGTAAGCAATAGAAGCCATGCTGGATGTTTGATTATATTTGTTCTCTTTGCTAGAACAAAGGCAAGTGAGGGAAAAGTCAAACATGAAAAGCTTAAAAGGAAATCATTTATATATTCAAATCATACTTCATCAAGATACAAAAAAAAAAAAAAATAGCAAAAGAGCCATATGCAGTTCATTTGCTTCCAGAATGACTCTGTGTGAACAATGTGTATTTCAGGAGATGCTAAAGCTTTCAATTATCGACATGATTTTCACAGTCGCAAGCATCCTGCTAATTGATTTTTTCCGTGGACTGTGTGTCCGATATTTAAGTGATTGCTGGTGCTGGGATCTAGAAAGCAAGTTTGTAAGTACAGTCTTTGTTTTATCAAATTAAAATGCTGAAGATAGGTAGGCTCCTTCCCTTACTATTGAAATTCCTTAAGGCCTTTCAACAGATAAATAATTTCTTGGTAGCACACGTCTATAAAGGCATAGCTAACATCAAGTTTAAATTGAAGGGCACAGGGTAAATGCTGAGACCGGATGTTTTTCTCAAGCCTACTCTCTTGGCTGTGGTGCAAAAAACCTCTCTCTCTTTCCCAAAATGAGATCATGGAGCAGTCCTAGAGCCAAAGATGAGACAGGGGGCACGGGGTTGTTCCTCTTTTCTGTAGCTGTAATATCTATCCATAATGTAGACAGTGATTCAAGAGGCAATAACCAAAAGCACATAGCCCTTTAGGAAAATTACAGTGGGTAATATTTGGTTAGCAAGAAGCTGTTGGTGTGACGGGATGAGGACCGTTCTCTGTCCATAACTAAAGAAATGAAGTAAACTAGAGAGGAATTAGTTTATTTAATTCCCTGCTGCAGAGTAGGTTTTCCTGTGTTCCCACTGCCCGCCAAAAGCTGGACATTTCAGGCAATGTGCTGTCTGAAAACTGATTCTGTCAAATGCTTCTAATTTATGATCTGAAAAAAAGATTAAAACAAGGTATTCATCCTACACTGTGGTTTTTTTGTAGCCGGAATATGGAGAATTCAAAATTGCAGAGAATGTATTGCATTTGGTCTATAACCAAGGAATGATCTGGTACGTAGTCCATAAGCGATTTTTCTTGTCCTTTGTTGGCTGATTACTAAGTCAGTCTGATTTCCAATGAAACCTATTCAAGTAGTATATGAGTAATGCCATCTTTGATCCTGTATTATAATAAGAGGTCATCTGTTGATAGTGAGCTGTTGCTTACTTGTTTTTTTCATCTGTTTTTTTGCTATTAAAATTATTTCTGGCAACATTGAGCACTGAAATGATATTATTTTTCCAGGATGGGAGCTTTCTTTTCACCTTGCTTACCAGCATTCAATGTTCTCAAGTTGATTGGACTCATGTACCTGAGGAGCTGGGCTGTGTTAACGTGTAATGTACCACATCAGCAGGTTTTCAGAGCATCTCGGTTAGTCAAAATAAGAACAAAAGATAAAGAATAAATCAAACGCAGTCAGTTGAAAAGTCTTCTGTATATAGGAACAAAATTACAGTAGATTTTAGCTCTGAAAGTTGGCAATCAAATTTGACAGTAATACTGATAGCAAAGGTCTGTGAAAAAAACCATTATTGAGAAACTGGAGGGTTTGTAAAGCAGGGTAGTTAAAGATGGGCAAGAACTGAAAACTATGTCAGGGCATATTCTTAGGCCAATATATGTGGCCTAAGATAAATGCTTTCTTTCCATACAAATCTGACTGAGCACAATAACCTACATGTGTTAAATACTGCAAGTCCTATTTCTTGATGCTTCTTTATTTGAAAACTATGAAGTATCTGCTTTTGTCTATTGCATCATGCAACAGAATTCCCCATTTTTTTAATCATGATGAATATCTTAATTTTTTTTATTCAAAATGGAGATAATTTAGGGCATCTTTAAATCTTAAGAATCAGTTATTTCTAACATGTTTTGAAGGTGAATCAGCTTCTGTCACTGTTCTTTTTCTCCCCCAACACAACTGGGTAGTAAGGTCAGTTTTTACCGAAGGGTGTTATAAAGAGCTCTCTGGCTGCAGCACTGGTATCTGGAAAGCAGTGCAAATAAGATTTTGATCATTAAGAGTCTGTTTAAACTGGCTCTGTTCAGACTTTCTAATCATAGCAGAATGATTTTGATCTTTCAGAAACGTAGATCTTGAACTTGTTAGGTGGATACAGACTTGCATCTTTCATGTTATCTCTGCTTTTCTCTCTGATTAGTATAATTTGAAACATGTTACGCCTTCTTGCAGATCCAATAATTTCTACTTGGCCATGTTGCTGTTCATGTTGTTCTTATGCATGTTACCAACAATTTTCGCTATTGCCCGATATAAGCCATCTTTAAGCTGTGGTCCTTTCAGGTAAGTTATAATGGACTAATGAAAGTTGCTAAGGTTTTATTTCACCTTCTCACAGTAAATTCATCAGGTTCAATAATACCCAGATTACCATTTTTAAAAAAGTTTTATAGACAGGACAATCTTTTTGCTGCCGATGTTTTCCAGTTTAAGATTTAATTAGATGACATATTAGATGACACATTGTTCTGTGTGAGGCTCAACATTTTGCCTTATATACATGGTTCAGCTATTTTATGTTTACATAATGTAATGTGCCACCAAGCAATCTAGCACACATCACTGTCTTGTATCTCAATTCAAACACCCTCCAAGCCTTGCCAATGCTTTTGTGCTTTGGAAAAATTATTAAAAAGAAAATAGTAAACAAGTTGCTTTTATCTTTCTTTCTTTTTTTTTTTTTTTCATGGTACTGTTCCAAAATAGTTTTGGATTAAAATCCTTGTTTACTCAGTGCAATACTCCTTAACATACTGATGTATTACAATTTCTTGCAACTTAATTTTACCACTTGTTTTTCCCCTTTTTGTAGTGGACAAGAAAAAATATATGATATTGTTTCTGAAACAATTAAAAATGATTTTCCCACATGGTTCAACACAGTGATTACTTACATTAGCAGTCCTGTGGTTGTCCTTCCTGCGTTACTACTTTTATTGTAAGTAAGTGCTTTGTTTTTCACAGGCAGGCTAAACTGATGGTATTAATACTGGCCTTATCTTTGGAAAGTCAAATGTTGATACCGAGGAACAAACACTGCATTATTGTAATTTTATTAAGCATATCTGGGGGAAAAAAAAGCACGTTATTAACTATATGGTATATGGATCAGATGGGAATGAGAGTATGTCAAAAAGACTGTCATCACATTTGCAAAAGGAATTTCTTGTTCTGGGATGCTGGGTTAGAGCAAGGTCACTATATTGTGTCAAGGCTTCCAGTGCTGCTGGCTCCAGGAAATTTTAAAATCCTTCTTCCCTCTCAAGAGCTTCTCAGAAATTAATTTTCTATTTCCTCATGGTCATTAGTTCAGTTTATGACTGTGAACAGGGCTCAGTCTATCATTTAAAGAAGCTTCACAGTCATCCTGATTTCTGACAGGATAAATCAATTATAAAGGTCTGCTCTGAAGTGTTAATGTAATATAACTTGCTGCAGACTTTCCAATGGAAGTCCTTTCTTACTCTAGTTTCTAAATAATTATTCACAGCTGGAGATTAATATTTACTTTGAGCTGTTTGAAATTCACTTTGCTCTATGAAGTATCATTTGTCTTGCATGTACCTTTGTATATATTTTTTCCCTGTAAACTACAGACAAATGCAGTGTTTGTCCCATCATTGGGTTTTCAGACAAATCAAAAAGACTGAAGCAATGCTTCCTATCTTTAACTTTTTCCTCTAAGGTCTCAGTCACATAAATATGAACATATTTACAAATTTAAGTAGATCTGTTGACTTCAATCTGATGGCTAAGCACGTATGTAAATGTCTGTGGTACAAAGTCCAGCTATAAGATTTTACTTCATCTGAAAGCCAGTGCAATCCACTATGTCAGGCCAGATCTGATCTCAGCTGTGCCAGTGTAAACAAGGTGTTATTCCAGTCAGTCAACAAAAGTACATTGGTATGAGTGCGCAAACTCAGCTGTAATTCTGGTGTCTCTGTTGCATAACCTTGGACTGGGGAAAAAAAAAAAAAAAAAAAGAGAAAATATTTAACAAAATTTTCATTTTGAGCATGTCCAGAATTTAAACAAATAAACAAAAAAGCTAGAAATGCGCTCATGGTTGCATGCACAATGGAAATACCTCAAAAAACCACTGTCACAGTTAGAACTGCTGTTAGATCTGTTTTCAGTGTCACGTATTTCTATCTTTCATGTATGTTTGCTTGAAAGAAGGCCGTGATCCATTATCACAGTATAAAAGGAAATGCTACAAAGCAGCGACTGAACTTGTACATCATTTTGATGACCTATAAACCTTCAAAGAGAAAACTGTCAGGAATGTTTGATGTGACTCATAATCACCTCTTTCTTTTCTAGCATGCTAATCTATTACCTACAAAGTATTGCAAGATCATTAAAATTCACCAACAATCAACTGAGAATGAAGATCCAAACAGTAAGTACAGTTCAAAGCACTTTTATATACAATTTAGTGAGTGTTCAGGAAAGTACTGGCCTAATTAAATCTCTAAAGTCACTTTCAGTGTTTCACAATGTAAAACCAATCCTGTATTTATGATCCTTACACAGCAGTGGATTTACTCTCTAATCCACAATGATTTACCACTTTTCATTCTTCTGAATGTATTTTAGGAAAGAACTGAAGATAAGAAAAAGGTGGTTCAGATGGCAGTAGGTAAGTTGCTGAGCTTTAGAAATGTCACTATTAAAGCATTTAGATGTAAAACTATTTTGATTTCTCAAACATATAAGGAAGCTTAACTAAATTTATTTAAGAAAACTGTATTTCCTGTAGAGTCCTCCTTTTAGATGTTTTTTTTAGCCTAGCTTGTCTTAATCTTGGCAGCACTGAAAGACAAGGTGCATAGTTTATACCTAAACTCCTCTGGGATTTTTGGTCTGGGTATTTTCCTGCTTTTACCACCAAAAGGGCAGAACCTGGGAAGGCACCTCTGATGATTCAAATCCTGTCAGACGTTATGCAAAATTCAGAGGGTAGCAGGCAGAAGAGGGGGAAGGGAACGCCCCGTGCTCTTTGACCTAAGCGGGTTGAACATTTCATAGGCAATTAAAAGATTTCAGACTTGTCTACTGTACCTGAGGAAATTTGAACCTGAACTTTCCACTTCTCAGATTTTATGAATGAGAAACCACAGAAAAGATGCTGTCCTTCTAATACCTCCCAGGGAAAGGAACAAGTAAAAATTTGCTAAGTCAAAGAGAAGACATGATTCAGTAGCCTTATGGCTAGATCTTAATGCTACTGTAACCCCCTCGTAGCTCTCCAATGGACACACAAATGGTGAAATACCTGATGTTTATCACTATAGTGATCAGGAGAGACTATTGAGGGCGATGACATTGTGTCCTAGTTGGATTTCCTTTGTTACAGAAACCAAATTCAGCTTTTGGCTGTGACCAGCGCAGTCACTGGAGCCAATTTGCTGACTTCAGATGCTTTCATATTGGTAGTGGTGTACGCTGTGAACTAAAACAGGGTTCATGAAGAGAGTTATTGGCTTGTTGCCCATTTTGGAATCCTACAGTGCAACATCCAGTGTTTTTCCTATGTTCCCCAATACAATGTCTGCCAAGTACTGTAGTATGGTGATCCACCCTTTTATCACCAAGTCTCCCAGTCTCTTTTCTGAACATAGTGGGGTTCTGTTAGCATTGGATCCCCCGACTGAAAGGTGAATTGAAGCCACTGCATTTACACAGCAGATTCTAAATTTAGAGGCCTGGACAGTTCCTATAATAATTTCTGTTTTCTAGCCAGAATCCAAAATCTGGATGGAAATGACAAAAGACCAGAGCAAGAAAGTGACATCAGCCAGGAGTCTTCTGCTCGGTCCTCAACTCCCCGAAAAAATGGCAGTGTCTTGAACTTTGAATCTCCAGTGAGCAAAGGCACCAGAATACAAACTATTTCCCAGTCTGTACTCCAAACTGTGCCCTCAACTGATGTTGCAAGACCTGTCAATGCAACTCCCACAACTTCAGCCTCTTTAACACCAGCTCCCTCAGTATCAAGCGTACAGAAACCTAGAAATGATCATATCACAAACAGGTAAGACTGCTTTGGTTTTGCAATGGCATTTATTCCAGCAGCTCCATGACATACCTGTGTTTGTTTACAAGGTAGCTGTGTATTCAGGCTACCTGTAGCAGTAAAACTGTTGAAAATTTTTTAAAAGCAGATTCATTCATGGGTGCTATTCAGAGTGCTGGTGACACCACCTCCTTAACTCTCCCTTAATTGAGATGGGATTATAAAAGTTTTGAAATTATGTAGTTGATGGAGTTTACACAGACCTCAAGCAAAGGTAAATACTAAGCTTCCCCTCAGGTGTATAACTAAATAGTTTGTGCAGGATACTGTTTCCATGAACAGGACAAACAGGGTAAGAGTGAAGGAACTCTGTGTAGAATGCCTGCGCAGGTCTAGCTGCAGGACAATGTTTTGGACATCAGCAGACTGATGCTTTAAGCTACCTGTTGTTTTTTTCAAGTGATCAGATAAAGAGCATTTTTAGACAGTTCTCAGAATAATAAGAAAACAGAAGAGGAATGTAACTTGAGAGATCAATTGTCTGCTGCCTTTACTCAGGCAAGAACAAATATATCTCCTAATTTCTAGGGTATGTTTCTCAAACCGGTCCTAAAAATTTGGAACAATGGAGATTCTGTGATCTCCATCCTTGCCATCTAGTGTTTGACTTCCAGAGCAATGAATGTTGTATATGTTTTCATTAGATTAATAGATGAGTGTGTATCTCAATATTTCTTCTCCCCCTGTTTTTTTTTCTCCTTCTTACAGGTACCCAAGTGTTGTTCATGGGAGTGCAAGTGAGCTCTGTAAAACAAAGCCCTACACACCAGTCACTTTCAAAAAGCACGTTGAAGATGTCCATTCTGAGCCTCTCTTTAGAAAAGGCTTTCGGCAGGTAAATCCGGATGCTCTTGGGACAGGGGCTCCCGTTTTTGTGGGACGTAGACCATACGCTACCAGGTATTTTCTTGTTAACGAAAACCAGTCCCGCAAAAAATCACTGCGTTCTACCTCCCGACTCCAGAGGCACTTGAGAAAGGAGGAATCAGGAGACATTATTGAATTGTACCCACGCAATGTCAGAAGATATGTGGTTCAAACACCACACCAGATGTATTCCCCTCATCCCAGTGAAGATGAGGAGGATGAAGAGGAACTTGAGAGAGACTTCATGAACAGATCTCATCGCCCTCGCTCACTGTCTGATCTTCACCCAGCACCACGATTTTACATTGGAGAATGTGCTGATGGCCATATTCTTATGAGCAAGGACCTTGCCAGAGTGCATTACAAATCCTGGGATGATGGTTTTGGGCTAGACCTGGACAGGCCTCCATATGCTTATAAGAAAGTGCATCTGAACTATCCTGAGCCACGTGTGAAACCAAAATCAAAGCAAAAGCTGGAGCAATCTCTAACAGAATCTGACTCCATTTCCATTGAATCCAGCAGTGATCCGCAGAACAGCAGCAATGACCAATATATCCAGGTCATTCACAGCAAGGAAAAGTATCCGAAATCTGGGACAAAACTCAACAAAAAGAAATCAAAAAACAGTATTGATCTAAATATGTCTGACCCTAATGAATTGATATGCTCAAATGTCTGAGAAAGTGCCTCAACCTGTCTGTGCTTTGAACAAGTGTTTGTGCATTTGTTGTACTTGCTGTTAGAGGTCTGTTGGAATAACTATGACATAGTCTTTGCAGCAACAGTGTATGCAGCCACTCAAGGTGGGAAAAGCATAGTTAGCCTTGTGTTTTACTGTTAACTGTACCTTGCTTTAATATCACAACTGATACGCTGCAAAATTTGGAAGAGAAAATTATTCCAATTTATTACTCAACGCTGTTAGAAAACAAAAACCCCACCTAGTGGAAAATCAAAAGTTATGTACGTGGGAGACTTTAATTAAACCAGTACAAAAATATGTCAGATGAGGCTCTCTTTGATATAGTCACAGCTAAAGATGCTTCCAATGAATAAATTCTGCAGGTATCAGCTTCCTACTACAATTGCTGTCTTTAGTATAATTTATGTCATCTTGATGTGCCTAGTTTGAGTATGGTGTAGCTTAAACAAATCAGTAATAGGTTAATTACAGAGAATAGTAACTTTCTTTAGAGGGTAATGCATGGGCAATGGAGTTATTTGATTGTAGCAATGTATACCAGCCTTCTAGATGAAATCCCCAATCTTGTATTTTCTGGTAAGACTCCTCAGCCCAGCCTGATAAGCTTCACTGCGGAAAACTTTCTGCCCATGGCCTTTAAAAAACTTTCTTCATTACTCCTAATTTAATTCTATCCTGTTTTTTGCACACCATTGTAATTTTACACCTTCTTTAGATGCTGAAGATTGTTTTGTTTTTTTTTTTTTCCATGTCATTTGGATTACACGGGGATAAAAGAACCGTTGGCCTTCAACCAGAACTCCCAGTCGGTTCCACCAAGCCATGCCATGTCACCTAAGGCTGGAAGGAGGACGGACGGACATCTCCGGTGATGTCTGCCA